CCTTCTCAATGTCCCCCATGTCCAAAATCTATAAGGACAGACAGCAGTAAAAAAAAAAGTTAAAAATAGTCACAAATTATCAGACTGAAATTCATCAGAAAGAGTTGTATAAAAAGGAATGAGTAAAAATGAAACATCACTTGTACTTAAGATCCACACATACTACACGTGTTAAAAAGCAAGTCCCATAATGTTGATTTCTAAATTCAGTATGTCTCTTATTTTTATTTATAATTATTCATTGGAAAATTAGGCTGTGTCTTGTTAGAAGATAGGGCATGTTGCCTGTATTTGTAATAATATTTTGAGCAAGTTTGGTGGCAAAAAAACAAAGCAAAACAAAACAAAAACACAGGCTAACAACTTTCCCCTCTGTAGTTAGCATGGAACTGCTAGGATGCATTTACAACCAGTGGGAAAAACTCACGTCCCAGTCAACTGTATGGCGTCTTACGTACAACAGATCTAGATGTTAAAAGTCCTCCTTAAAGCTGTGCTGTTGCCTGTTTGATCATGTTACAACACGGTCGCCATCTGTGACTAAACTACAATAATGGTTTGAAATACCAGTGAGACAATGTGCTTGAAAAGGCCCAGGGGATAGGGACACCCCAAACAGCTCAAGGAGTTGTAACACAAGTGAAACGATGTGTTAAAAGTGGGATTAGTGGAGGAGTGGGTTAGTGTTTTTAGTGAGCAGCTAGTTAGGGACAGAGGTTACATCTGGATCAAGGAGTCTGATCTGAAAAACACCCAAAGAGCCCAAGAAGAAGAAGAAGACAAACTTCTCCGTGTACCTGGTGTTGAGGCAGCTCCAGACAATGAGTTGGTTTCCCTTTTTGAGGTAAACGTGTCTAGATTTTGTAGCTGTGTGCTGTCTGGACTGAAACAGGATGTAGAACACAACAGATCAAATTTCCTAAAGGCGGAGTTAATAAACACCAGGCTGCGATCAGTGAGTCACCTAGAAAAAATGACATAAGTGGAGCGTCTGGGTCACACCCTTACCTTTAGCACAAGGTGTGTGGAGTTTTTTTTTTTTACCATTTTTGTCAGTGGCAGCAGCTGTGAGGTGACGTGGTCTGTTCAGCACAGGAAGACAACATTTGAGTAGATAACAAGATTAGCTTGTTATTGACACACCTGAGGGACTGACAGCAAATATTCAAGATGTGAATCAGGCTAAAGCAGTCAACTGCATCCATAGGGCACAAATCTGTCATTGTTCACTCCTTCATATGTAAACATCTGATGAGCAGCACTGTCAAAAATAACACACACAGATAGTAGAAAGCTTTAGAAAAACACTTTACCTCTGATAGGTCCCGAGATAGTAAAACTTGTCCTTTAGTTCCCTCTAGTGGTAAACCTGTGTAGAACCGAGCTTTGCTTTTAGGCATTGCATTGACTGACACTGCAAATATTAAATGAAACAAATATACTCAATAAAACACTTAATAATAAAGATGCTTGAAAGGAATTGCGTGCAATTTTTATTTTCTTAATTTTTATAGATAGATAGATAGATAGATAGATAGATAGATAGATAGATAGATAGATAGATAGATAGATAGATAGATAGATAGATAGATAGAGCGAAATGCAACTTGTTTGAAACTTTTATTATTTCCCATGCCTTAATAATAATAACATATACTGTAAGTTATCTATGTTTATTGTATTTGACATCAAATGTGTTTTGAAGGGCTAAAAGATGTTATATTTATAGGCTATTGCAGACACTGTGTCTTTATCCCTTAAAGGACGTTCGCTCCATTTCCAACTCTTCTGCATTGGCCGTCAAGTCAAAATCTTCAGCCCTGAGTTGAAAAAAAGAAACACATGTCATTTTCAATGAGGACTCACATCTAATGTAGGTATATTCATGTCAAAGAGTCAGACAGAAAAACAACATTTTATCACTTTATTTAGTTTTCACACTGACTTTACATGTTGAAGTCTAGATTAAGCACTAACTCAACTTGACAATAACTTGGAGTCAAAGTCTTTGGGACGAGAGGACAAGCACCAGGTCCTTATACATAAGCTTAGACTGGAAACACCAGGGCTGACTGTATGATGACTTTTGACTTCAACTTCAACAGTGGAAACTGGAACACCTGGAACTAAAGGTAGTGATTTGAACTAGCACCTCAAACACCAGGGACTCGACTGTTTTTTTATTCATATCTTGGACCACAGGTGGGGACATAAGCCTGGGGTTCAACCATATCCTTGCTGACTCAACTTTGGCATTGTCAAATATATTATGAATATGTGTAACCTCAGAACATAAATATATATGACCATATAGACCAGGCGTGGTCAAACGTTTTGACTCGCGAGCCACGATTGGTCCTAAAATTTGCCAGGGGGGCCGGGTCAGGGGCAGATAGATGGAGTGTTTGTGTAAACTAAGGTAAATGACATGTAAAAGTCAGGCATAAAGGCCAAAAAGGTTCAAATACATTTGTCATTTTCTGCACCATCCATGGGGGAAACGTGGGTATTGCATGGAAAAGGCAGAAGTATAATGATCAAATAAATAAATTATATAATTTGGTAAAGTTTGGCGGGCCAGATTAAAAAGCTGAACGGGCCACATCCGGCCCCCGGGCCTTAGTTTGCCCATGCCTGATATAGATGGTACTGATGGAAAACTGCCTACCAGTGCAAGTCAGTGTTGAAGAACTGTTCAACAGCCAGAGAGTTGATGAGACTCCAGTACAGACTGGTTCCAGGCAGAACTTGGTCGGCGTCTCCTCGACACTTCACACACACTCGGTTGAATGTCCAGGCCCGTCCAAACCTCTGGGGCATGTTGGGAGTGTTGTGAGACTGGTCGTCTTCCGGCTCGACCTCTCTTCCAAACCGCATGGGCATGTTGGCGTGTATGTGGGGGTTGACTGTAGGAGGGTACAGCTTGATGATGGTGGGAAGGCTGCTTTTGCTGGCGGTCGGGGTCACACGCATGTTGAGCCTCTCCAAGTCCAAACTCCTGCGGGTTACAGCTTTAGCCTGAAATAAAAAATAAAACCAAACGGTTGTTTTTGATGACTGGTCCAAACCTTGGTTTGTATCTCTTTAGTTTGTCAGCGCCACCAGGCTGCAAGGGCTGTGCATTTTACATCATCCTTATAATCTAACAAGAGCATCCACAGTTTATCACCAGATCAACAATGGGAAAGTGGATCTGAACACAGGATGCAGTTACGTCTCAGAAATACAGAAAAGAAAAATACAGTTTTAAAGTGCATTTATATTTGGATCTTGAATAATTAGATTAGATTATTTAATACAAAATATTTAAAAGTAAATTGAATCTAGACTGAATCTAGAGGTTTTTTTATACATCTAACCTATAGTAGTTGCTGATTTCTGATGATTATGTAAAATTAACTCATTAATAAATGGCAGCAGAACATGTCTGTAGTGCTTGGTTAGCAGGTTCAATTAAAAAATAAACTTATTTATATTATAAGACACCTGGAGGTTGCAGCCACACAACAAGGCCAATACAAACAAACATCAGAAGTGACTGACCTGCTGGAGCGGCTGCCTCCTCACCGTGTGTCTCCCCTCCTCGCTGCTCGGCAAACTTTTGTCACTGTAGGCTGATTTCCCATAGACCTGGAAGTCAGCCGCTGCCGCCGCTCCTCCAGGACCTCCCAGCATCAGGAGCACTGACAGGAACACGGTGCTCAACATGGGGCCGTCTTGGTGGACATCACCTTGACGCCGTCACCTGCTATTAAAGATCCTTGAAAACATACGTCACCTGTTTGTGTGCGATGAAGACTCCCACGCACGTACACGAGCGCCGCCTTCATTCTCCAGGTGACATTCCTGAATCTATAATGGGCCAGTTCTGAGGAATACATTATGAAATACAATCAGCACGGCCTAATTGGACGGCTGAACGAAGGCTAATCAGACTGGATATGGTTTACACACAACTGTGAGCGGATCATAAAAAAGCTAAGAAGTTAAAAAAAGCATGCGGTAGAAATATTAATTAGTCCTTCATTCATTCCCCTTTTCAGGTCATAAGAAGTAATTCAATTTTCTCCTCTTTTATACTGGAACATTAATTAAGTCAGGGTGGGTTAAATTAGCAGGCTGGCCATTCCTGTCCTCACTAATGAGGAGGGTGTGAATGGATGAAGAGTTTTTTTGTTTTTTTTTTTCTTGGAAGAACTAAGGAAGGGAAGGCCAGCAGCGGAGAGAACCTAAACACTGACCAGTCTTTCATTCATGCTCATTGATATACATATATATATGTACATATATACATACATATATATATATATATATATATATATATATACATACATATATATAATATATATACTGTAATATTAATCAGAATAATTTATTGACCCCCCCCACCACTACTCAGCAGAGCACCTGTGGAATCCTGCTAAGGTCCAACCCTTCACTGGTCTGACTAAAGTGCAGGTCAGAGAGAGGACGGATGTAGAATATTTACCACCAGGTGGCAGGATAAGTATTTGATAAGAACAGAACAGACAGATAATGGCTCGGGTTTCTTCCATTCTTTCATCTTGGGCCCCATTATCCTGCTGAGGATTGTGGGTAGATGACATGAAAACAAAGTCCTGGTCCGCTGTGGACGGGTCACAAGTCCATCAAAGAACAAATCATTTCACCTAATCCACCGTCTGTGTCGTTTTAGACCGTGGGAGGAAACCACACACACACACACAGATACACACACAGATGTGTGCATTACTACATCTCTACCTTTTCATTATTTTCTTTTCATTATTTATTTTCATCTTTTTTTTTAAATATATATATATAGTTATAAAGTTCAAAGATAGCATAAAATATATTGAATAAAATCGTAATCGATTGAATAAAACCTCTGTGGAATCATCACAGCCAGTTTGCACAATGCACGTTCCCCTCCTCTGTGTTTGGGTTAGCTCATTATTATTCAATTAGCAGAGCCACTGCGTCTAGCAACCGGCAGTCAGGTATGTGGATCACGTCAGCGTTGGAAACGTCTCAATAGTTTATTTATCTCCACCGATGACTCACTGCATCTCTGAACCGACAGAGTGTGAGAAATGCCCGGTGTGAGACACGGGGGTGATAATGACGGCCCTCGGAGAACTTTAATTTGATCCATGCGTCGTGACCCCGACATTGTTGCCATTTGCCATGTTGCCACGTCCGGCGGCGGCGAAAGCATTTAAGGCAGAGATGCAGCTGGTTTCAGTGGTTCAGGATTAATCCTAAGATGTTCTTTTATGGTTATGGTTTCACTCTATCTTTTGAATCATCACCTCCCACCTCTCCTGAGTCCTTCTCTCTGAGCTCTCCCTCTCTGACCCCAGCCGGCCCCAGCTCCAGGACTATGGGGTCTGGGATTTACGACGCTGTCTCCAGCTCTTATCCTCAGCCTTATCCGCAGAGGGCTTCAGCCTTTCTCTTTGTTCTTTCACCGAGCGCTCTCAGCGCTCCCGCAAAGACCTTTTTATTTTCTCTGGCAGTGTAACTCTGTCTCTTCTTAATGTTTTTAATGTGCATCTCTCTCTCGCCACCCTGGCGGCCTTTTCATCTTTCCACTTTCTTGCCTCCAGCCTCCTCTCCTCTCTCCCGTCTGCGCTCCTGTCTCACCTCCTCTTTGCCTGGTTGATTTGCCTTAAAACAGACGCTGTCCTCGTGACTGAAATACAGCCCCGTGAGGTTGATTTAGCACACCACAACCTCCATAAATTATAATGTTTTTTGGAGTAGTGTTGCATCCATGTTTTATGTTTTTTCACGAGACGTATGAAGAATTAACTATGGATGATCCATTATCCTTTGGACAGAACCAAAAAAACAATTAATAGACACGGTTCAAAATAAATACAAGTAAATCTTAAGAAGTGGAGAAAAAGCCGGGCTGGAACAGGTAGTGGTAGTGGCTGACTCTTTGTGTCTGGGATCTGGCAGTGTTCCCAGAATTCCTCTCCAGGATGGGGACACTGTCAGGATTCCCAAGATGATTTGTGGGAATGTGCTGTTATCCCTGTGCTGACCAGATTTATGTCCAGTTTTATCTTGGCCCTCACTTAGACATCAGCCGGGTCATCATCACAACACTTTACATGCCCGAACACTCAGCGAGGAGACGCATTCATCAAGGCCTGCTGACGGGTTATAGTTTTATCAATGATCAAATCCATTTCTTCGGGATCGCTGTATTATGATCTATGGTAAGACGCGGTGACGCCGCGCAGACAGACACACGGGCTCACTGGACTGCGCCGCTCTGAACTCCACATGCCGAGGCTGTTGTGTTGTTGGAGAATCATCACCGCGGCTCCAGGGATCTCACATGACCACAACCATAAAAAAGTCCAAGAATAAAAACTTATAGAAGGTCCGGGAGAACAAACTCGAAGCAGCAGGACTCGGTAGTCAACTTTTATGTCCCTCCACATGCAGCAGGACTAAAATAGTTCACTGTGATGCATTTATTCTGTAATACATTTACAGAGCAAAGAGCGGTATGTTTGGGCTCTGTGACAGAAATCAGTTCAGGAAAAGGTAATAAACCGCTGCGTCTGGGTTGGATTCTTTCTGTTGGCAGGTAGTAAAAGTGCAGAGCAACAGGATGAGACATGATGTGACTCAGAAAGGTCACGGTGGAAATATTCTATATGTTGGATGTTGCCAAAAAAAATCTCCCGATGAAACGCATCCTGGCAGAAGTCTGTTTCTCCTTCTGACTCCCTCAGTCTGTCAGTTACTGTTATCTCTGGCCGACTTCTCTTTTCTTCTTGGCTAACTTTTAACTATCTCATCCATAGAGTTGTGTAATGTTTAGAGATTTTAGTCTGACCTTTGACCTTTACTTAGTCAACCACCTTAATAACAGTATTTTATTGGGCTGATAATCTATTTCTATTTGTCATTTTGTAGATATGTCACAGTTGACTTTTAGTTTTCTCCTGGCTAACCTCTACCTGTTTGCTAACATGTTTTATGGCTAACTCTAGTTATCTTATTAAACATTTGCTTATTGGCATTGACTTTAACTTTTGAGCTGACTTTGATTCCGTCTTGTCCAAATTTATGTTGAATTATTAGTTGTTTGAGTAACTTTTATCTGTTTCCTGGCTAGTTTTTACTACGTGACTTAATTTCTTTATTTAATAACTCTAGCTTTTGCTGCTCTCTGCTGTAACTTATGTCTGTCTCTGTGCCGACTTCTGGTTATTTATTTATTTTTCAGACCTAGCAGTTTTGCTGTTCCTTCAGTTGTTTTTCTGCTTGTTGTATGTTGTTGTAATTATTGTTTTATTCATACTTCCTCAGTTTTATCACTATATACTTTTAATGAAACCTGGGAGATGCTTGGCAAATTTGTTATGTATTTTTATAAAGATTTAATCTCAGTTTTAAACCATATTTTTTCAGCTAATGTAAGCTAATGTTTGCTGGGTTTTTTTTTTGGCTGTGTATTTTTATGTTTTATAATATTATATACATTTTAAAAAAATGTTTGGTTCGTGGCAATACATAGGAAAAGTCTTTGGGATGGAAATGTATAATTATTTAAAAAAAAGAAAGAAAATATTTTCTCCATGTAATGGTGTATATTTGTGCTAATTATCTTTTAATTTAAAATGTAAATTTTCTAACAAACCATACAAATTATAAATTTACATAGAAAGTCCTTTTACATAGAAAGAATGGACTCTACTTACTTTCTGCAACATGTCTGGAACCTTAACTAGTCATAAACAAAATCATGTTTTGCTTTAACTACTTCACAACAAAGTCAGGCCATTGATATAATTATTATAAATTATTATACTTTAATATATTTTCTACTTTTCTTGGCTAGTTGGGTGTAAAGAAATGCAAAACGTGTAAAACCACACATTTCATTATTAAAACATGAAAGTGTCAGAAACTTTATAACCACAAGGTGGCACTCTAGGAGTGGTTGAGCAATCTAGTGTTGCATCTGGATGAATTACGATTAATTAGGTACTAATAATAATCGACTTTTTTATTTTTATTTCCCTCATCTTATAAACGCATCATTTCGTCTCAGACAATTTAGATGTTTGTGTTTGGTGATTTATTTCGTTTTTAAAGTTTAACACAGACTTGGTGCAGGGTATGGACATTTGAGGAAATGGAGCAGTCCACTAGGTGTCACTCGTCCACCTTTGTTCCCTGTCTGCAAAGGAGGAGGAGCACGTTCAAAGTGCTCCTCCTCCTTTGCAGAAGGTGGAGATTCGAGAGAGGAGGTCCTCCTTAAACAAGGAGGTGGTGTCTTTGGGAGGAAGAGGTGGAGCTAATGTCTGTCTTCAGCAAGGGGAGGCGTGGAAAATACGGACCAATCAGGTTGTAGTGGAATTGGACCAGTCAGAGACGAGGAGCTGCAGAAGAGAGGGAGTCAGGAAATTGAGCAAGGAAATTGAGCAAATGAGCCTTGAGGAGAGGTCGGGGGGAGGAGGGGGAGGAGGGGCGAGGGGCCTGATGGGAAGGATGATGGGGCCCTGGGAGAGGAGTGTGTAAAAAGTGTTGGGTTGTTTGAAAAATATGCCACAGCTTGTGATTTATCTTGTGTTTTTATTCAAAGTTGGATATTTCTCCACTTACGAACGTTACTGAGCGGTTGATAAACGTACTAAAATGACCAAAATGACAAAAAAACAAAAAAACAAACTGTAAATATTTTCTCTGGAAGGAACAAAAAATAAAAATAAAAGGTGAAAACCACTGTGTAATTCGTCCATTACTGCTACATTAAAGTTGAGGAGTATTTTGAATGCCCCGCTGTTTCGGCTGCAAAACCACAACAGCCCTCTGTCATTTGGCTGTTTTGGTTTCTGGGACTTGATCTGAATGTTTACAGGGTCGTTTGTCTGTTGAGTGAGTTTCATGATCCTTGGGCCCCAGGAACCGATAAACACAGGCCCAAAGAGCGTAAATTCACTGGTGTCAATAAAAAAAAAACACCCAACTTTAACTTCACTCGTAGTACTGGAGGGACTGGCGAGGGTAAATAGTATTTGTGTAGTTACAGTGTTGGGAGCGTAGAGCAGGAGAAGGAGTAAAAGGAGCAGAAAAGTACCATAAAAGCAGTGAGTTAAGGCCTTTTCTCCTGACCTGTGGGGCGACTCTCTGATGACCAGTTTGGCTGCTGTTCGCAGAGTCACAGCAGGTCAGAGGTCACTTCAGACACCCACACAGAGCTCGACACCGCGACCTCTA